TCGGGGTGACAGCGCACATTGCCGGCTCGTGGTCAATTTTTCAACAACCAGTATCCCCAAGTCCTTCTCCACAGGGCTGTTCTCCATCCATCCGCCCCTCAGCCTGTGCTGAAGTTGGGGATTGCCCCGACACAACTGCAGGACCCTGCACTTGGCCTTGTTGGAGTTCATGAGGTTCACCTGGGCCCGCTCCTCCAGCCTGTCCAGGTCCCTCTGGGTGACACATGTGGCCCAAACTCAGAAATTGCCTCGGAGAAGAAGCTTGAAGCCTCAAAGTATTTGATCTTGCTAAGTATCCCATCCCCTTCTTGTTGCCTGCAGGAACATTGTGCTGGCATCACACCTGAAGCCCCTGGAGAAAAAGGACAAGATGGGTAAGAGGAGGAACGTGCTGTGGAATCCCTGTGCAGCCCACGCCAAGGCCCCGCCAGCCAGCGATGTGGAAATACCCCAGGTGAGGGAGATGCTTTTCGGGAGTTTGTCCACATCTAAAAATTGCTCCAGAAAATTTGGGTATTCTTTTAAAATGCGAGGGTTATTCAGAAATATCTCTACATGTGAGCAAGGCCTCAAAGTCCCCAGGAACATCGGTGTTTAGATAACCACAGGGTTCAGTCTTGGCCTCTGCTTTGCATCTGACAAGAGCTTGCACCAGCTGCTTCAAGAAGAGTCTGCTTCAACCCTGTGGGGATCCAAGACCAGCTGCACAGCGTCGGACCAGAACTCCCAATACCCTGCCTCTGATGGTGGCCAGTAACAGATTCTTGGGGAAGAGTGCCCTCCCTTGACCGTGCTCTTCCAGCTGGCTGCAGTTTAGACACCGAGAGCCAGGGCTGTGCATCTGGATCACCACGTTTAACAGCCACAGACCGCAGATGATCTGTGAATGTAGCCAGGTCTTCTTCACCCCGCGGTTTAATTATGCATGATATGGAAAAGTGATCTTTTGTTTTAACCCTGATGAGTTCACTGGATGCTCCTTAGTTCTTCATTTGTGGGAAACAGCGACTAAACATTTTCTATCCAGGTCATTTGTGGTTTGAGTGACACCTGTCCTGCCCCCTCCAGTGGACTCTGCCCACCCTGGAGAGTCCTGGTCACTGGACTTGTAGCCAGGGATTTTTCATGTGGATGTTTCTCGTGGATTTTTTTGACACCAAATTTCATTTGCCTGTTTATTACGAGATCTTTTTGCTACTCTTCTAGGAGCTTTGTGTTTTCTTGGACTGAGCAATGATCTCCCCAGAGCAAATTCTGTTCCTAATCCCATTAGCACTTGGGCTCTGATCTCCAGGGCTTCTCCATTTTGTGTTTAGACACAGCCTGATGTTGCTGTGCCTTGTTCTCGCTATCTGTATGAAAGCCTAAACATTTTAATCCTCCTTCAGTCTGTGCAGCCGTTAAGTCAGCAGTGATGAGTTCAGCAGTTCAATTACATCGTGTATAAAACAGGATTTCCTTTTATCTGGAGACGCCACATTGAGCTTGGCTCTCATTTAGTGCAGGCTCTCTGCCCCAGACCCATACAAATGCAGCATGTTACAAGACGGTGTGTTAGGGCCACCTGCATATTTTTGGGGTTTACCTCTCATATCTTTTGTCTCCTCACTCCTTTGATTGGCCTCACAGTGCTCGAGATGGAGCAGAGGTTTTCACTGAACTACCCTGATCTCCAGGAGATCGCTTCCTGACCGATGACGGTGGATCCAGACTGGGCAGCGTGTCTGCTTCTGGTTAGGGTTGGGGTTACTCCAGTGCCGGTCTGTGTTCATCTGTGCCGGGTTTCATGTCTCGTCCATTCTTCCATTTTTTTCCCCTGAAGTTCTCTGGATTCTGTGGGGCTTGAGGAACCTGGTATTTCTTTGTCTTTGTGTTTCGCTGCCTCACAAGCTTTATGCAGCCCTTTGTGCTATCCAAGCCTGTGCTAAATGTATTAAAAACATCTCAGCCATCCACAGCTTGAGGGGGGTTGAGGATAAAAATTTTCGAGCGGGAACAAAACGAAAGGAGCTGGGTAACTATTTTTTCTTTCAGGAACTGGATCGACTGCCGAGAACCTCTGCTGAATTTTACAGAGATTGGCGCAGATGCCTAAAAAGCGGAAAAGAAAAATACCAGTTTTTGCTTGAACTTGGAGGGAAGGCCTTGGGCAGAATCTTTCAGGCTGACTTGGGCTTTGGCCTCCTGGGCGAATTCCTTACGGTGCTGGCAGAGAACGTCTGTCATGGAGATAGAGATGCCGTCCTTCAGATCTTACAGAGCCTTGCCTGCACCAAGCGCTTCGGGTTAAACATGGATCTTCTGAGTGAGTCGGAGAGGGAGAGCAGCAGGGATCTGTTTGGGAAGCTGCGGAGCATGAGCAGGGGTTACCGGACCGCCGGCCATCCCAGCAGCCCAGCCGGCTGCGAAGCAGAGAGGGAAGCCCACCTCATGCACAGCAGCTTGCAAAAGGAAGCCGAGGAGGAAAGGATAGTGATGGGGCTGATGAAATGCTACCAGGTGTCCTGAAGGAGCAGGAGGACCAGGATCGTGCAGAAACAGAATGCAAAAGAGGCTCCAAGCTCGACTTCGGCATCACTGGGCGAGACGGGTAAATCGGATGTTTCTGGAGCATTGCTGTGCATTTCTCTGTACCTGGGAGCCACCCAGAGCAATACTTCTGCACAAATAAAGGTTAGTTACCAAGAGGACTGTGCTGTGATCTCTGGGGCAGAGTGTCCTCACAGAACAGCTCTGTGACAATCTCTTAGATGAGGGGAACAACTGAAGGAAAGAAAAAATTGGCTGGTGTTTTTGAAGGAAAAACCAAAACCCAACTAGTCCCTTCCCTTTTTCATCTCTCTCTGTTGTCACTCAGGGGATTTAAGAAATGTAATCGATGACACTTTGTGTTTAATCGTGCAGCCACTGAAGGTAGAATGGGTTGGCGGAGGTGGAAATGCTGTGCGAGGTGGTATAGCTGGGACTGATCCAACCAGCTCTTTCATTATTCGTTTACTTCAAACATCGGAGCATGTGGTAGACTTCAGAGATCCTGTCACCTCACGGTCCTATGATCTCGGACACTATCTGGTTTGCTGAAATTCCACATAAATTGAAATTTAGGAGGAACTGTCAGGCATGAGTCCAACAAAGAGACTCTCCAGAGCTGCCTAATACTGTGTTTAAATTGAGTCGCCCTTCTGTTTTGGCTGCAGACCAGAGAAGCCCTCATATGCACAGCTCAGCACCTACCCACCATGCTCTCTTGCAGTTCTGGTCTGGGAGGATCCTCAAGCTTCTCCCAAGTGAGCTGAGCAGCCCAGTGTACGTTACATTGCTCAGACTGCCTTGAAATCGGCTCAGAAACAACTGTCAGGTCCATTTTGTTCCTCAACCCCTGTAGCAGACCAAAAGGTAGAGACACCCTGGCAGACTATAACCATCCCTCTCCCACCTCTGTAGGCACCTAATTGCAGACTTCAGATTCATCTCTGAGACCTGGCACTTGAATGTTGGGCTTTGTGGCATCTATCTTGGGGACATCTGTGTCCCTCCCATCTGTTGTGAGTGCCATTCCTCTTGACTTTGCATAACACTCGCGAACCTGAGGACGAGCAGAGAGCTGAGAGCTGAAGTCTTAAACAAAGCAAGAAGATCCTGGAGTTACCCAGGGTCAGGATGGAGGATGTTGACGCAGGAACAGCCCTGAAACAACGGTTACGGTTCTGGCGGGGGCAGGCACAGTGCTTTCAGCAGTCCCGAGGCTCAGGGCCTGCACTGACGTCCTACGTCAAGGATGGGAGCAGCTGGCTGCGTCCCCATCACTTGGGGAAAGGCAAAATCCCTGTGGTTTGGTGAGAAGACCCGGGAGAAATGAAGCAGAGGAGAGGTTGTGTGAATGCTTACGGGAGGACGGGCTGTTAGACCAGCTGGGATCGGTTTCCCAATCAGACAGCTCTGGTCTGACCTGAGCGTCCGCTCAAGAAGTGCCAACAGCTGAGCTGAAGGTCCAGCCAGAGTCAGTGGGGAGCAAATAGCCTTCGCCGTAGGAGAGATGCGTTTAAGGTCTCCAGGGCTGGTTCCACCATCAGCCCAGGCAAAGGTGATGTGAACAAAAAGCCTCGCTCGATCACTCAGAGAGGGGGAGTCTCAAACTTTTCCTGTGTGGAGGGGCTTCATCACACAAACCCTTGGAAAGCCAACAGGGAGGATGTAGAAATCTGAAATACTGTATTTGAAACCTCTTCTTCTGGGCTACAGTGGTCAGCTGCTGTCGGAGGAGGGTCTTCTCTGGGTTTGTTGAGCTTAGAGGGGTCAGAGCAATAATTAACATTCACTGCACGCGAGCCTTTCAAGAAGATGGCAGCGGTTCCCCTGTTCCCACCACACTTCCCATCCCCGCATCCTCCCTCCACGGCTGTGCTGCACACATGACCTGCCCGCTCGTTGCCCAGGACACGGACAACAATGCTCAGAGCAGCTGTGAGGGAAGAGAGGTTCTAGAGTCCGTGTCCGGGGAACAGCCTGCCCCGGGTGGGACGGAGTGTTTCCCAGCAGACACTCGGCTGGGCTGGGGCGTGTCAGCTGCTGTTGGATCCCTGCTGTCAGCCACGTGCACCAGGCAGGGGTCGTTTGCAAACCCCATCTTTGGTGAGCGAGCTGGTCCGTGCGTCGTCCCTGCCCAGCGCCGTCCCTGCCAACCCCTGCCGTCCCTGCCGAGGACGTGGTGGCTGGGTAAGTTCTGCTGACTGCAGAGACCGCCTGGTGTGATGGAGACCAGGCTGCTGGCGGCTGCTGTTCTCCTCTGCCTGGTGGATGCTCTCCATGCTTTTGCAATCGAAGAGAAAGCAGATGTGTTCAAGCGAATGGCTTGTCCTGCTTTCCTGATGTTTGAGAACGCCGCCTACTTGGCTGACATGACCTTCGAGCTCCCTTGCAATTGCAAGCCCGAAGAGGTCTCTTCTGTCATCTGGTACTTCCAGAAGAACATGGGCAGCCACAAAACCAGAGTTCTGACGGACTTTGCCGGCACCATGATCGTTGACTCGGGCCGTATCCACACAGGCAGTGACATGCTGAAGCGTTTCAGTATCCGGATGTTCAGTCTCATCCTCTTCCGTGCCCAGGTGTCGGACTCAGGGCACTACCTGTGTGGCACTAAGAAAGGGGACTTCTTTTATGGCTACGACGTAGACGTGCAGCCCACCAGCCACATCACAACGGCTTTTGTGGACAGAGGCCAGCATGTCCAGGACGACTACTCAGAGAAGCTCTTCAGCCTCTTCACCACCTTCTGGGACTGGACCAGATGCGACCGCTGTGGGGTGAGAGGCGAGCAGCGGCGGATCGGGCTCTGCTACGTGCAGAGTGCCAAGCTGCACCCCCGGTACCGCACCGCTGTGCCCAACGTCACGTCCTGCGGCTCAAAGGCTGTCCCCGCGAGTTTCAGGACAC